AGGAATCATATGTTTAGCACTCCAAGCACCACTTCGATTAGGGAAAAAAGATCCAGCTTCTCACCTTTGGGCCGGTCATTCAAGCAGAGGCTAATGTGCTTGGGCTGCGGTAGATCCTGAACTCCTCACAGCCTGATTGAGAGAGGCGGTCTAGTTTACAGTCTCCTGTGTGCTTGTAGAAGTGCAAGGCTCCTTCTACCACAAGACTGATTAATTAAAGTAAGGTAAGACATTAATTAAAAGGGTCCTACATAGCTGGCTAGAAACAAGGGAGATGCAGACACAGATGGTGCAGGATTTCATGGTGGTATCTCGGCTGCAGATGCAAATGACAGGAGAACAAAGCCCGGTGCCTGCTTCTCCTGCCTCCTAGCGCAGAAAGTCACAGTCGTGGTGCTCTTGCACAAGCTCACTTCTAGGCCTCTGTGGTTAGTTTATCTATTTACTCACAATACCAAATTCATTGTTGTCTTTAAATTTGGCTTGACAGTTTTTCTGTGTCGCGTGGGTATATCAGGCTCTGTAAGAGCTTCTGCAGGACAATAACTGATCCCTCATTTATGGCTCTCCAGCATACTCAGAGGAGCTGTGGCGAGAGGAAGGCGGGCAGGATTCATCCTGCAGGCAAAATTTGACAAGTTGCAGAAGAGTTATGCCGCAGCCACATTGGCATGGCAGGGTGAAAGGCTTCAAGTAATGCTGAATGCCTTTTGGCAGTAGTGTAAGCAGACGAGAGCGTTTAAATGCTGTAAGGAGTAGCTGTGTGCAGAAGAGGTTTAAAATCGACGACTCTTCAGCGAATAGCGCTCTTCAGTGCATTCATAGCACATTCAGTTAGGAGAGCTGTTAGAAGCTATAATAAAGGCGAACCCTGTAAAACATGACATTGCAATCACTCAAAAAACATATTGTGTGTGTGTGTGTGTGTGTGTGTGTGTGTGGATATGTACACATGCACACGCGCTCGCGCTCTGTCTCTCTCTCTCTCTGTGACTAAATTGCAAAGCCTCGCTCAGCCTGGTAGCGCCCCTGCCTTTCTGCTTGACTTGGGGCCTTCTCTAGACCCCAGTAGGTCCAGACAAGTTGCAGGGACCCAAGGGTAAGGAGAAATTGAAACCCTGTTTTGTAGTTTCGAAACGAATGCTAGGACCACCCCCCCCAACATATAAATTTATCATTTATATATATAATTTTCTCACCTAATCCCAAAATTTATGACAGGCCTCAGCACTGGTTTTTCTCCTCTAATTACTGTACTAATAAGTGTGTATAATCTCTGAATGAAATCAAAAGCAGCTTACATGGTAATTACAGTGGGAGCACAGCCCCTGCTGTTCAAGACTGGCAGCCGTTACAAAGTGCTTGCACGACAGTTAAGGTGCCGGGAGGTAAATGTGCATCTTTTGGTACTAGCCCACTGCTGTGTTTTATCTGTGGCTCAGCTTGCTATAACGTCTCTTTTGGCAGTAAACTTTTAGGCAGGAAACCGGAGAACTAGAGGAGACCAAGCACATCCTGCTGCATATACAGTGGAGATTTCTTGGACGTGATGAACTTTTAGGTCATGGGTTGTAGTGGAGTAACATTATGGCGTAACTACATTTGCTCCATAAAACTTATGCTGTAGTCAGTTCAGAATTTCTCTTTTACACTGTGGGAAGGGCTTTGCAGCCACTTTTTTTTTTTTTCCCCCCCCAGGAGCAAGTGAAAACACGTCTAAACTGAGCAATAGAGAAGGAAAATCCTACTGTATGGTAGAAGCAGAAGATCTTGGCGCCCTCTGATAATTCAGCATTAGCGTTGGTTAATGCCTCTTCCCCCCCCGCCCCGAGCTGGCGTGACTGCATCAGAAGGGCAGTCCCTAAACACCACCGTGTCTGTCTCTTAACGTGCATTAGCTTACACTGTCCCAGCGAAGCAAGGCGTGACTTTAATTTTCTCTTGTTTACAGTTGCAGCAAAGAAATCTCAGCATGGTACTGTATTTTTTTTTTTCCTGTCACGTTTATAGCAGCTCATTGGGAAGCGAGAGGGCCAGATCTGCTCCCCCTTGTTGGCATACCCATGCTGTATAGCAGCCCAGCAACACTGAGAATCACCAGTGTATGGACATGTTGGAGCAGGGCTACTCAGTGCTTTTTCATTTGCAACAGAAAAATTGAATTAAGCTGTGAATATCCATTTATTTTTTTACTTCCATTTTGTTGTTTGCTTGCTTCTGTAGAAATGTGTATGTATGGTGAGATTGGGAGCGAGGGGCTTGCAATCACTGTGCATGTTACCTGTTGGAGACCAGCTGGTCCGACAATAGCCTGCACAACTAGACGAGAGACTCTCAGCTACAAAGCACCATCTTCAGTTGCAGATGCCTCTAAAGCAGAACTGTCTACTTCTAGAAAATCAACAGAAAGGCATTTACTTACAAGCAGCCCCATTTAGCAACTAAATTCTTAAATCCTAGCTGTCTAGACCTTTGCATAGCTCTTTCTCTGCTGCTTCCACATTACTCTGTCCATCTTGCCGTCCGGAGTGGGGTGCCCTGGCCAATATAATGAGCAGGATTCAGAGCACTAGTACAATGTGAATGCTGCTGTCCCACAGGCAGCGTCTAGAAGAAGCTCAGCTGTTCATAATAGAAAGATATTAAGCTGAAAGGAAGTGTTGTGGATAGATGAATATTTTCAGTTATAGGTCTCACTTGCAAAAATGAGTGATTAAACTGAATCCAGTACTTGGTAGTCAAGGGAGTTCTCGAGAGGGCAAAGGGTTTTTCTGGAGGCCTGTAGTGGAAAATGTGAACATGAACTCAGAACAGTGGCTCCTTGTTCTCTACAACATGCAGATGCCTACCACAGGTACCAGCGCTAATGGAAAATGGCTTTCGGAAATGTGTGCCATTAACTTTTTATTCATTTCAGTGTAGGACTTCTGTCCATCTGCCCTGCCCTTTGCACTTTGACTCTGAAATGTGGCACTTGGCAAATTTTGATTGGTTTTGTGGCTATTTGCAATGTTATTTCTTGTGTTGTTGGTTTCAGATTGACAAATATGCTCAGCGGGATCTGAAGAAAGGGCTTCATTTGTATGGGACAGATGGAAATATTGGTCTGACTAATGCATGGAGCATCATTCAAACAGATGTAAGTCCTGAACTTCTTTCTTCTCTTTACCCTCTGGGTTCTGTAACAGTATATTCTGGGGGGGAACGGAGGGACAGACCTACTTAAACCCCCAGATCCCAAGCCACCCTCCTCCCCCCCACCCAATCAGCACATTAGCAAACTGTCAGCTTTTTGTGACAAATGGTGGTTCTTTTTTTTTGTTTGCTTCTCCTTTGCTGAGGATGACTTATTTCTTTTAAATATTTATATTGTGTTGAGTCCTGAAGATCAATTAATTCTGTACCTTGCTGAGAATGAAGGAGATGGTCAGAGAGGAAAAAAAGCAGCTACCTTCTCTTTAAAGTCAAAGGGAACCGGACAGCTTTTGCTGGAGTGAACAGCAACAGTGTATTAAGAAGGAAACACTACTTCAAACTCTTTTCATTTCCGTCCTGTCTCCTCTCATTGCTATTGCTAGTTTCCCCTAATTAGTCAACATGGAAATTGGCCATAGCATTTGCAACCTCCTCCTACTGTCAGCACATTTTTCCCTGTAGAAGTCGGTTGTCGTGCATCACAGATGGGCTGGGAATGCTTTTTGCTATACTGTCACCACCATTGTGTCCTTCTGATTGTCTGATAACACTCTGCTAGTATTTGCCTCATAAGGCCAGGCAATGCTGAGCTCGACAGCTGGCTTCTTCCTTTTGTCCTCGGCTAGCTCGCTGAGGAAGCACCACCCATTACAGTCCAGTGTCGTTACTTCCATCCTTCTCTTTTCATATTCAGCTTAATCAGGTCTTTTAGGTGTGAGCTTTCTGATTTGATTTCCTCTGCTTTGTGAAGGAGGAGAGATGCTGGGTTCCTTCACATTTTCTTCAGCTTTAGGAAGAAGCCCTTTTACTGCCCTGGCTTCAGTCAAACATTTTGCTTAGCTTTCTCAGAGATTCTCCTCTAGAGGCGCCAGCATGGTGCGGGCATGCAGGGCTCTGGTCTTGTCTCTGTTGTCTTAAATTGGCCAAAGATGATACCTACCCCAATGCTTCCAAGGTTATGCGAGCTATTCAGGATGATGGATGGGCTGCCCATCACATTTTTGTAAGATAAACCTGCTCATTTACCCTTTCTTTCCTCTATTGCCATGTGGGCTGAAATCCTGAATTATGCATCTTTCAGTTTCATCTTTCAGTGTTCAAGATTCACAGCTGCTCTGCTGTACAATACAGATAGGCAGGCTGCTAAGGAGGGGTCTGGGAAATCAAAAATTCAGGCTCACTAGCAGAATCAAAGACTAGGTCTTGCCCAACCCGTCGTGCATCTCTGGGGCTGTATGAGCTATCTGCACGGAGTGCAGTAGGTTGGCTGTGACAGCACCGTGTGTCACTTGCGCAGCTCGAGTGCAGCAAACACGCTAATAAGCTCTCTATTCCTGCATTGTAACAACTGCATGTGGAAGGTTTCTCCTGTTACCTTTAAAAGGTCATGGCATTTTACAATGCTTTTTAAATATTTTATCTTCCCAATACTATGATCCAATAGGAGAAGATATTAATTGCTTAGAAGAGAAATATATTTTGAGGTTCTAGCCCAAGAGCGGGCCATGTCAGATGTAGATAAAATCTGTAATATCACTGCTTATTTGAAAACATATTATGTTTTACTCCCTCAAACCAATTAAATCTGCTTAGTCAAAATTATTAGAATTTACTAATATTAAGATGCTTGCAGTAAATATTAATCAGGCTTCAGTGACATCTCAAGAAGTGTTAAAACCATGTCAAAGATAGGGGGGAAAAAGCATTATCTGGAGGATTTGTGGGATGCAAAACTCATGCTTCTGCTTCTCCTGCTGTAAAATAGGTGTTATGATACATACTCACACCTATCCATATTTTTTCAAGATGTTCCTAAATTGGACCTAGTTCAAAAATTGTGTACAGGAATAATCAGGATTCTGGAATTTACTTTTTAGTGAGAAATTTAAAATCTCTACTTAACTAGGAAAAGATGAAGTAGTGATCTGATTACGGCCCATAAAAAAGAGGACAGGAAGGGAAAAGGTTTTTGAAAGTGAATAGCTCTGTAAGTTTTGGAAAGAAAGCACAGTGTGATCCGAGAGCTACAAATTTAAGATACAAATATTTGATGGTGAGATGCAGATATAGAAGGATGGTAGATTTTCTTTCACGGAAGTCAGGATAAGGTGTTTGTCTAATGGAAATGATCTTGTTCAGCCACAGGTTTGGGCTTGAGGCAGGACTTGATGATCTTCTGTGGCTGGTGTAGTGCTACAAATCATACTAGCTTGTATTAATGGTCCCTCTGGCCTTCAGAGCAATTACAGTTTGATGAGTGTCTTAAAAGCTTCAGGTGAAACTAATTTCAGCAGTTCTTAGGACCCCAAAAGATAATAGCAAAGTGACATCTTGCAAGCCACGTACAATCATGTTAAATCACTCTCTTTTCTAGCATGACAACTGTGAAATTACCACGCGCCGTCTTGACAGTATTACAGTGTTAAAGTCTGCATGGTCCCAGTGCTGGGCACTGAGGGGACCAGCAAAGAGCTCCCACAGATCCATTTTTACTGCTCTGTATAGTTGGTTTTCACATGTATCTTTCAAAACTATTCAGCAAGAGACTATTGCAGTGGTGCAGTGAAAGCAATCCCAGCATGGTTAATTATGCAAAGCACTTTGCAGTTGAATAGCACTATGTAAATGGCAAGTATTATTTTTTTTTGTGTTCAGTAATAATTGTTACTCCTTACATCCCTAATCAGTAGAGTGCAATCACTGATAGGGGGATTAGGAGCATCCAGGGGACTTCCAGGAAGGAAGGTCCCAGCCCAGCTGTTTTCATTCTGGTTCCTAAGAGACTTCTGGCAAAAGACCCCCTCATTAGAGCTAATCACACGGCTATATAGGTGAATGTCTCAGCACTGACTTTTTTAATGGAGCCAACAGACATCAGTCATTGGTTGAGCGATGAGCCATGTCTACACATGGATGGAAAACAGCAGCCTCAGAGGAAAAAAAAACCCAAAACACAAAGCAAAACACGACAGTAGCAGCAATGTTAATGAGTCTTCCTCCTCCTCCTCCCCTCTGCATTCACACTCCTTTTCTTTGGAAAAATGTCATTCAGAGCTTGAGCAGAAGGATTGCGCTGTGATTAAAGCACTAGGCGTAGACACCAGGGATCTAAGCTCTGGCATAGGTCTTCACTCTTCCTGCCATTAGCTTAGACAAAGACCATCCCCATCGTGAATCTACTAAATAGGACAGTGTATAGCAACTAACAGAATAAGGGCTTCTATTTTGCTTAAAGAAGGAAAAAAAAACAGTTTTCCCAGAAACAGAAGCACATTTAGCAGGTAGCATTTGGTTTTTGTGCGACTGCTGGATCACAAATGAGAGGGGAGTTTCAACTGGCAGTATGGATACACAGTGCACGCGTTCACTTGTGAATGGTGGTGATTGTATGTCTGTCTTCTTCGAGCGCAAAAGCCCTGAGCACCTTTGACAGACATGATCAAATTCTTTTTTTTTCTTTTTCTCAGAGTAGAAGGGGAGGAATCCCAGAATAATTAAGCAGAAAGGATAACAAGTACTGTTTTTGTGTTCTTTACTCTCATTTGGAGGCTTACTTCTTTGCAGCCTTGTACCTTGAGAAATCACATCTGCTTCTCTTGAAAAGGGGAAAATCATTCTACAGTTCATTACTGGGAACACAGAAACAGCAGGGACCGTCAGCTCCATGTTTAGGGAGAAGGTTCTGGTTTTAGTCTATGACTGATATTTCCAGACTACCAATAGAGCAGTTGGGTTCTGCTGCATACATGCAATGCATGTTAGAGGAAAAGCATTAGACTCCTCTAGCAGAAGTGTTAAGCCTCTAGGTCAGGGAGCTGTTTCAAACTGGAATATCTTTTTTATTTTTTATTTTTAAATACCTTCAGCTGACCAAACTCACTGTCTTTCTGAATGGAGATTCAGTATGACTGAGGACTACAAAAGCACACAAAGTTATTTTAAACGTGACTACAATTCTAATACTTTAGGCTGTAAGTTACACTGAGCTGCATTAGACTCCTTAACAACAAGGACTGGTTAAAGTTACAGGTGGAGACCATTAGGAAATGAGAAATGGGCATTAATTTTTAAAATGCTGCTTCATCACCAACATCTTTGTGATCAATATTTGAACACTTCTCCTTTTAACTAACCAGTGAGTAACTTGAGAGGGATGTAGAAAAAACATTAGCTTCACTGAAGTGAGCAGATTCAGCTCTCTTTCACTGCTGTATAATGCCTTTCATGTCTACTTAGACCACTGTAACTGAGAGAAAAATTTGACCCAATCTCCCCCCACCCCGTCATTGCTTCTGTGTTAGATTAAAACATACTTTGGATTACTGCTGAAGTAATCCAAACCATCCATTAAATATTACATGATTTCAAATTAAAACCATCTTATTCACCGCTTTTCACAGTGATGGATGAAAAAGATATATACAAGGCATCATGTCCCTAAGTCTCCCTCACAGTCATATGATACCAGAAAAACTGTAACTGCTGAAAACCTGTCCAAGACAGGGATTCAGTATCTGTGGATTTAATTTTTATTCATAAGCCCTGTCCCAACCTGGCTGATTTTGGCAAGAATTTAGCAAAGAAAATATGTGGGTCATATTTTACTGTAGCCAGTAAAAGACATACAACATTTTAACTCTTCTTCTGTATGCTTCCACTGCAACAAGATAGAAACATTTTGTTTAGTATTAATTACCAGCTCTAGCTATCCCACGCCAGAGCAGCAATTGCTTGTTAACACAAAAATAAAGCTATCTGGGAGCAGCGCTGCATCCCATAAATACAGCCCAGAGTCCTCCGTGCCGTTTGATGCTATCTGGCTGGAAAGCCCTCCTCAGCACACGGCCTCAGCCCGCAACGTCACTTGAGCAGCTCCTAATTGTCCGGAGCTCTCGGGAGCCGACTCCACACTTCCCAACCTTCCCTACCCCCAGCAGGTAACCAATATAGGTTAAATAAATAAAGAGATTGATATTTCTTTAACAAAGGAGGAAAGAAATGTGTTTTGACGTTTCAGGAGACAGAGCCTCCCACGTGAAACAAATGAAGCAAACAGGTGAGTATCATCAGTATTCCTAGAAATGTTCAGCAACAAGAGCTTAGCTACTCAGAGGTATTTTGACAATTTTTCGCTTGTTTGAGCAACTCTTCCCAAATGACTCTCAGTACTTCCAGAACTACTACCCAACTGTCACCTTATCCCATAAGTACCTGTGTTCCTTCAAGTGGGCAGGCACAATTTCATCTACCCACGCATGCTCTTTCACAGCCGCAAGCACTAGAATCAAGTGCTGCGGGTTGTCCAAGTCAAGGTGTCTTCAGGGTACTGCTATTCAAAAGACAGTATCTGACATCTTCTGAAAGTACCCCTGTTTAAAGTGTGGTAGTCTGGATAAAAGTAAAGTACTAACAGCCTGTAATTGTTTCTGAAAACATTATCCTGCCTGTTGAAACTAGGGACAAAATTAAGCAATTAGGCAGCCTTGCCTAATTTCATTGCTAACTAGTGAAAGGAACAGCTAGAAGACTGAAAACTGTAAACGTGACCCATAAAGTGAACGTGGTTGTAGCTTACCTTCCAAGACTCAAGTCTGCAATTGCTTTATGCTGATCAGGCAGCTTAGCTTTCCGGCCAGGACAAAATATCAGCCTTTGTGAAGAACAGAAAGTCTTAAATAATAACTGGCTCCAGCCAACTGCTAGTTACAGGTATTTTCTTCCATGTGATCTGTGCTTTCTCTGTCCTCCAAGTACAGGACAGTCTCCCAGTTATCCTTGCTGAGCAACCCTGTATATTTTAAAAAGAGATTGTTTCTCTCATATCTCACAAGAAAGGCCTCTTAGCTCTCCTTTCATCCTTAACATCATACTCTCTTCTGTTAGTTCCTCATCTCTCTGAAGGATCTAGCTATTTCTGATCGTTCAGCTTCGTGCACACAGGATAAATCGGGTGCTTATCAAAGATCCAAAATCAGCCCCCACACTCACTGTTCTCTGTTTGGGCCTCCATACTAAAGTCCCTGAGTTTATTGAGCCCTCAGTTTATCTGTTTTTTGGCTCTCAACTTTGCTGATTCTGTACTGGGGACCCATTGGAACCCACTGCCGCCTGTTCCCTGGTGCTTGCCTCTGTGTTTGAGCTTCTGCCATGGGTCGGTGCCTCTAGAGATGCTTTTTCCCCCCACCTGGTCTTCACTAAATGCTGAATTTCATTACTCATCTTTTCTTTGTCTTCCACATCTCTTCTCATGTGTTCTCATTTTCTGTTACCTTTCCTCCACTCCTAGGATTACTGATTCCCACACTGCTTCATTCTTGTTCACCCTTGTGCTTCTTAGTCCTTTCTCCCATTGCTAGGTCTGCTTTGTGAGCCAGCAGTAGCAGGCAAGTATCAGCATTTAATCCTCTGCACTTGTACACTACACTGAGGATCCGTGTGGGCAGGCAATGTGGGGCCAAGATCGGCCCAATTTAGCCCACTTCAGGTTGTCTTTGCAACTGCATCCCCTCCCATTTCCACCTTTAGGCTTACCGGAAATGTGCTCTTTACAGTCTCCGGAGTCCCAATCCTACACCACTTCCTAGCTACTTTCTGCTTCCTGTGCCCATTGGAACAGCTGTCCTCAACACTGTTAGTGAGCTCTTAAAAACAAAACTTGTATTTTGTCTTCATCCTTGCTGGCCTGTCAGACATCCTTGAGACTCTCAGCTGTGCAATGTTATGGAGGGGAAGGGGCTAGTCTTGACCTGTGCAAACTTGTCACTTACATCTTGCCAGAATGTCACTCAAATGTCTCAGCCCTTGCCCCTCTACTTCAATGGTGAATTACATTTTCAGGGCTTACGCTTTCCACTCTGCCTGTACCAACTTCTTACTCTCTATCAAAAGCTCTGCCTTCTGACTGATCAACTAGTGATGACAGCCTGCAAGACTTTCTTGTTAAAATTTCTAGATAAACCCTCTTTCCTCAAAAGCATGGCATTTGTTCCCTATAGCTCCCAAGCGCTTTGGGTCCTGCTACTCATGCAATCCCTGTTTGCATGCAGGAACATAAAAGGAACAATAATAACAGAAATTCACAAACTTTTTTCCTTACAAGTCCTTTTGTAGAAAATGTAGCTTGTAAACTCCCAAATCAAACACTCGCAAGCGACTGCTGCCACAGACCAAATCAGAGGATTGTGAGCAGAACTTTAGGGGAAGGTATGCTGCTCCAGCAAAGGCTTCTGACTTTTGCTTGGCACAAGAAAAATACTGTGCTGTGAGCACTGAAACATCTCTATCTGACTACCTGCTGTGAGTGCTTGCAGCAGCCTGGGATGCGAGGCAACGTGTGACACCTCTGCCCTCTATTGGCCTTGAACGGTTGATCTTCTCCAGTGAGTGCTACAAGACCTGAGCGCTCTGCTCTCCATGCAAGTAAACCCTAAAACCACTATACTGACAGAAAACTCTCCCATATCAGGATCTGACGTAGGTCTTTACCTACCTATTAGTAGGTCCTGGTGATGCAGAATCTGTATGATTATAAGTCTTTACACGCAAGACAAATATTCTGTGTATGGCTGTGAAAAATATTGTACATGCTTATATAACATCAGGTTTAAAAAATAAGAACTTGGCAAGTTATTAGGTGTGGCTGGCATGGATCTGAGAAAGTGTGAAGTACTGCCACTATTACAGAGCAGTTCTGCAGCCTGATGTTTATAAATCCACGTAGGCTATCTTGTTTTACTCACTGGTGCTAAAGTTTCTAAATACTTACAAGTTTCATACTTTCTGACTTAGCACAGGAGTGACAGATGGTTTATATATCTATTTGCTAATGAATCTTAGCTTATTTTGTACCATAGGAATGGCCCAGGATAAAAAAAAAAAAAAAAAAACTGCCTTTGTAAAAAGAAACAATGGTCTTAGATCTTAAATCTCCTCCAGCACTGGATGAAAAAAAAAAAAAAAAAAAAACAAGTTCCCAGAGAGGAAAGATGATCACAGAGCCATTCCCTGTAGTGTTAGGTACATTTCCTGTGCTTTCCATTCCACTACTGAAATATAAGAAATCTAATTCAGCACTAATGTAGTCATTGTATGTTGTTTCACTGCGTATATACACTTAAAGCACCACTTTTTAGGAGTATCAGATGATGACGTTAAGGAACTTTGCTGAAGAGAGAAGAGGAGGAAATAAATCTTTTACTGAATAACTAAGAGTCAGGTTGACTCTTCTAATCTCAATACTTGGCTGGGGTTTCCTGTTTCAGCTCCTGCAGCATCCTGCTGGCAAAAAAAGGCACTTCTGCTTCTTCGTTCTCTCAACATTAGCTATGTACAAGACCATACTTAAAAAAAGACGTATTCTACAAGAGGTAAAAGAGGTGGGTAAGGGTCTATCTAGGTAAAGCTGAGGAGATACTATATTCCTTTAAAATCTCATGGCCCAGCTAAAGTAATAAGAATGCACTAGATGAGGCAGGGAAGAGTCTTCCATTTCCTCTGAATGAGTAGGAATCACCAACAGAGCATGCTTACAGTGTTGCTTGGTTCCTCTTTTTCCAGTTCAGATGCTGTGGAGTCTCCAACTATACCGACTGGTTTGAAGTGTACAACACAACCCGGGTGCCAGACTCCTGCTGCTTAGAGTTCAGCGAGAACTGTGGGCTCCACTCCCCGGGGACCTGGTGGAAAGCGGTGAGTAGCTCCAGCAGCAGCTGAGCAGCCTTCTTGCAATCCTGCAACACAGGTCCAGGCAGGCAGCTAGTCACCTGTAGGGCTATGCAGATGCACTGAGTTGTAACCTGTATCATCTTTAATCAGGTGGTTTCAGAAGGCTCATACTGGGCCGCGAGGCAGGTAGGGATGAAGGCAAACGGCTTATCCGCACACTTACCACAAGCCCTGCAGCACTATCCAGTAACAGCAGCTCTGGGTCGCCCAGGCAGTCACTAGACAAGAGGGCTGTGTGAGCCTCGGTGCTCTGCTCTCACCAGGACTCCTGGTTCAGGGACTTTCCCTGCGCAGTACAAGAGAGGGAACTGCCCCACTGAACTACCTCAGCAACCCCCTTCAAGCCCAGCATTTTTTGCAATGCATCTCTGCACATCCCTGTAAGCACATTCAAAACTCAATGGGATGATTTCCCTACCATGTTCTCAGGATCATTCCAGAGCAGATAGTCAAAGTCTATATTCCTGTCTGAAATAAGCTCAGCAATTCTTTTTGCTAATTACAGGTAGCGTAATTACCCAGGAGGGATGTAGGGCAAGGCCAGCTAGTGAAGTGGAATTAATGGTGTTTTGCTGATTCTTGTGGTTTGCAAGGAAGACGCTCTGCGAGCTCTCTTGGCCACCTTCTAATGAGATTTCATATGCATGGACTGGAATTTGCTGCAGCTGAGCTCCAACCAAGCCTGGCTCCCTTTTATCTCTAGAGTACCTCCAAATCAAATTTTTAATTTAAGCACTGAAGAATTTTTGTTTCTTATTTTAACCTGTGTACCCAGATGATCAGTGCAGGTTTCCCATGCTAAAACCACATCTTCCGGGGGAGGGGGGGGGGGCTTTCAATTTTTTATTTAGAAAAATAAATTTAGAAATTTAATTTAGAAATTTATTTTATTTTAGTGAAAACCACTAGCTGAAGGCTAAACAGCCATGCTCATGTACATTTACAGGACACATAGTACTGTAAGGTTGTCTTACAGAGGGGGAGAAATGAGTCTGCAAGCCCATTATTTAAAGAAAGGTTCCACTCGGGCCAGTTCCAGCCCTCCCCAAGACTGGGCCAGGAACACGAGGTTATATCTACTGCAGAATTTAAACCAGGAAGAAAATAACGGAGGCGCTCCCATACTGCAATTTGAAATGATGGAAAATGATATGAACTGGTACGGCAGAAGAATCTACTGAACAGCTCTCACTAGCGCCTTCGGGGTTCTTTTTCTTTTTTTTGTATATTATGTAATAATAACAATTATTTTTTCCTGAAACATAGGGAAAATGAGAAAATTAAAGACTCATTTTGAAATGCTGAGGTGCTCACAGTTGGCTCTTAGAAGATAGATACCCCAAATCCATTGCTTGCTTATTTTTAAATATTGACCCGATTAAATGGAGGTAACCTTTAACCTCCATTTGCTGAAGGTTAAACCTTTTGGAGGTGCACTTTGTGTCATTACAATTAATATTCCATGGTCAAGCTTCAGCCTAGACATGCATCGAATTTGCTACAATGCTGAAATGACGATTCAGGCTACCTAGCAACTTAGTGTGACATAGCTCTTTTCTGTCTTCTTATTTTCAGGGAATTAGAGCCATGTGTTTATGAATAATACAACATTCCCTTTTTTTCCAGCCTTGCTATGAAACAGTGAAAATATGGCTCCAGGAAAACTTACTAGCAGTGGGAATCTTTGGATTGTGCACAGCCCTGGTGCAGGTACACTCTAATATTGATTTCAATTCCTAAGGCAGCTAAATGAATAATGGCAGACCCAGGCATCCTCTGTCTAAGCTTGTTCTAAGAATTTCAAATTTTGCATGATGTTAGACTAAAAATCCGAGAGATTTAACATCATCTTATGTTTGCATTCTGTTAAAACACTGTGCACAGGGTACAGAGCTAGGAGTACTGCACAAACTTTGTGTTTTATCATGTGCTGTGAAGAGTATGCACTTTATCAAGTGGTTCATCTAAGGTTCACCTTACCTGTATTTGTCCATTTTGTATTTTTCCATTTGTATTTTTTTTTAAAACCATACCTGTATTTGCCCCATCATTTTCCAGAGAAGACAGACAGCTTAGGCTAATATCTAACTTCTAGATAGCCTAAAGGTAGCATAAGACTTCAATCTCATTCTCCTAGATCCTAGGGTAATTTATAAGTTTGGATGTTGTTACCTTTTGTTCATTATTCACCCGACCAATGGAACAGTGTTTCCTTATCCATTAATTTCAAAATCCTTAAATCCAGACATCCTTCATCTATTAAGTGGAACGATCGGCACAGAAGTTGCCTGTTAGATTTCGGCCTGCAGTTGTTTCAAGCGTAGCTTTGGTCAGAGAAGGATCAGTGTAGTAGTAACCTTGTCTCTTTCTCTTAAATAGACATATCTTTAATCCGGCTAGCCACAATTCTGGCCACAATAGCACAAACCTTATCCTGGGATACATAGGCAAAACCTGTGCTGAAGATCAGCCTGATTCAGCTGTACTCTGCCCTCTGTTTATGCTCTGAAGTTCCACTCTCGAATGCAGTGACAGAGCTTTAGTTTCCTGTTCCACCTCTGTGTAAGCAGAAAGGATGGCATTGCTAAGCTAATTAATAGCTTGTAGCTCCAAATTAACTTGTGGTTTTAAGTTCTGCGTGGCATGTCACTACCAGCAAGAGAGACCAGAATTCAGCTCTACTCTTGCAGATTAGGCAGAAGAGCACGTCTTACTGTCTCGTATTGTCTGCAGCTTATTAATGCAAATGCCTGACTCTTTGTGGGCCAAAAATCTGTAGAGTTTTTGTTTTCCAGTATGCTAAGCAGATATGCTTAAGAAATGGATGAGCACAACAGAATTGTATGGTAGAGAGAGACAGTATAAAATTAATCTGTTACCACATTTTAAAGAACAGCTTTTAACTATCTACGCAGCACTGAGGGAGTCTCTAAAAGATTCATTATAAACCCACCAGACCATGCCAGAGGCCCTCCCATAGACTTTGCTTATATTTAGAGTTTTTAAGAGCAAGTGATATCTCTCTGACAAATAGTAGTGACTAGTTTCCATGGGAGGGAACATTTCAGACATGTTAAAAATGCAAATTAATATTCCTAGTAAATTGTTCTGAAGTATTCTCTGTGTTTCACAGCACAAAAGCTTTTGCCAGGGTCTGTCTTCAGCTGCACTATGTGATTTAATCTAATTGATGATGAAAGATTTGATCTACTGCCACCTGAAATGAATGGGGCTCCCTCTGTTGTTGCTGTTAGGATGTTGATCCGGCCCTAACTGAATGATAGCTTTTGTTTTTCATGTTAATGATATAACACTTAGAATCCTACAATGACATAACTTGAAGGACATACGCGCATGTGGCAGAAGAACTTTCTTCAGCCATGCATGCTAAAAATTGTAAAATATATTCAATTGCCAGGGTTTTGTTATGCAGCTGTCTTTGAAGGTATTCCTTTGTTAGGAATCAGAAGGCAGTGTTCTAGAAATGACTTCCCAAAGATGTGTGCTTATATAAAACAGCAAACTAAAAGCCTAGCAGTCTTATTTCACTCTGGAAGAAAGGGAAACAAAGGAGATTGCATCTATTTAACCTGACCATTTTTTCACCTTTGTTTATATAGTAGTAGTCTGTTATTAGTCATGTTCTCTTTAAAAATACTCCTTTCTGGGAACTGCCATTTATGTAGATAGTGAATTGTAAGTGGTCAAATTAAAATAGAATTCATACAAAAAATTCCCATCTGGCAAACCTATATCTTGATGAAAATTATTACAGTTGTGTTGCAAAGGAACAGTAAAAACCACATAGTACGTTCATGTAAGTCTATTTCAAAAGGAAGGCAAGTAGCGCTCTCTTCCCCATCCCCAATTCCGATGAAGTAACCCGCCAGAGGCGACACAGCAGGTCGGTAGTTGGGCTTGGAGAAGAACCATTGCCTACCTGCTGCTTCTCACGAATAGGCCGAGTGGCGAGACGCATGCCTTGTTGATGATGCAGCATTGATGATTATGATTAATGCATGGACAGCCTCCAGTGATCCCCCTCAGCGATCACTGCACACACATGCTGGGAAAAGTAAAGAATCACATTATCCTTTGGGCCAGGGATGGTGTCTTTCAAAGCAATAGTTACAGAGATAACCACAGCCCCACAGGCTGAGTGGGTTGCCACTGTAAAACATTTTTGAGCAAAAGACATCCAAATATTTCTTTTCAATATACCCCTTCCCAGTATCTGGTGGCTGCTTTTCATGGAGAAATCAACTCTCCTGTGCTCTCACTGTTCATTCTGTAAAACAGCAATACAGATAAGGACAAAAGGCAGACAGAAACTAGGAACAGAACAAGGACATGGGCCGGCAGGAAAAGCAGTATGTGATGTGTCTTCCTGTGTGTGAATGGGAACAAACAAAAACAGTGTAAGCATGCTTCTTCTTTTTCTTTTTTCAATAAATAGTTTTATTTTGACTTGCTGAAAAACGGTTGTTTGTTTGTTTTTTCTCTTAGATTCTTGGACTCACCTTTGCAATGACCATGTATTGTCAGGTAGTCAAGGCAGACACCTACTGTGCATAGATATCATTCCCAATCTCTCTGCTTCTCCTCCAAAGGACACAGGAGAAATCTCCTTCATGCTCATTCATCTGACCTTTATTTTTTTTTCCCCCCTTTGTAATATAAACTGTGTATAATGCTATCTTTCTGAAGATTTTGTGAATCACCCCACTTTACTGAAGGAGGAAGAAAAGAAAAACTGAGTATTTGAACTGGCACAGGTAAGAAGCAGCCTTCTCTTTAAACAGAAGACAACCTCCAAACAGCAATGGTTCCTTTTCATTGGCCTATGGCAAGACTAAGGAGGCTGCTTATGAGAGGCTGATCTGCAAACTGATGTTAGGAAAAAATTGCACTTGAGGAAACCTCTGTGAAAGCTGCCAGGTTGCCCTCCAGCATATCACAGTCTGGAAGAGAGGGTGTAGAAAATGAGTATTCTTCAGCATTTGAAGAAGGTGCAGAGTAGCTAGCATTGAATGCACTTATAATATTACTCCAGTTAACGCACAGGTAGAATTGTCAAGAGCAAGCTGCCCTGCCGCCAAGCGTTTCAAGATGATTTTGTAGCCAGGAGAGGATCATCTTCAGAAACATGTTAGTCTCACGTGCTGCAACATCAGGCTTTTAATCAGACAGAATCTGTGCAGTGAGATCTGGCTGTTAAGGGGAAGTAACATTGCACATTGTCTCACTTATTAATTGCCAGCGGCACTGCAGATTGTTGGCTGTATATGTAGTATATATTCATATACACCTAGTGTTCTGAAAGGAGGTGAAATACCTAGCATCTAACCTCAGAAAGAGGGAACCTTTCTATCCCATTTTACATTCCAACTGAAATAACTGAGTATTATTTCTTGTAGGAGGCACTATCACTTATACCTCTGGGAAACAAATAATTACCTTCAGCTGTATCTTCATTTCAGTAAACAACTTGCGAGTGGGCACTCTCTGTCATTCTTCCCTTTTTTTTTTTTTTAATCATTCCTGTTTCAAGTTAGTCTGGAAAATATCACTCATTTCCACACTTGAAGATCCACACAAATCTGTCAGCTGTTCCTTCCCTGAATGTCACCATTTCATTAATTTACTCTGGGATATCATCACCTGCAGATATGATAGAGTTTGGCTTGCTGAGGATAAGTCTTTTGCACATTGGTCATCTTTTCTAGAGTTATTAAGACTTCAGATGTTTTTATGCTTAGAATTTTTTTAGCTGCTTGCTTATGACAGCCAAGGCACGTCAGTCTTTGTTGGAAGTGGAGTCACTCTCAGTTCTGCCTTTCATAGCCATCTCCCTCCTTCTGGCTTCAAGGGCAGTTGGCTTGAATATCCCTCACATTTTGTGGAATTTGCAGAAATCAAAGTCGTAACTTTCCTTTGCCAGAAAACAGCCCACGGTTGCCTGATTTCTTCCACGTGCACTGGTAACAAGTAATTTTATGTAGTACCCTTCTGTATGAACTCTGGCTATGAGGTTAAGAATCAGATGCTTCTTATCAGTCAAACAAGTTGCAAAGAATTTCCCACCAGCAAGCAGCACCAGATAATGTGCATATGTCTATGTGATAAGGACTGGCAGAAGCATCCTGGAGAAAGCAGACAGCAGGGAACAGGCTAACAGAGCAATTCATCTGGCCCACTGCCTGCAGCCAGCTTGCTTGAAACAGATAGACCTCCCAGGTGCCCATTGCAGCCATTCCTACTGTGACAGACTAGAGGCATGCATCAAGTTCAGGCACACATCACCCTGTACCCTTTAGTGCTTACAACAGCAGGTCTCAGCTACAAGTGATGCTTTGCTTACCTTGATTTAAAGGCACTTTCCAGCAGGAAAGCTGGACTCTTCCAGCTCATAGCCTGTACAGCAAGATCCCAAACACCAGTAAGTAATCCTTTCCTGGACCTGCACCATTGACAATCCCTACTCTCACTGCTTAGCTTTTTTCTCCTCACTGATTTCCTGCAGTCTTCTCACCCTCAGGCCCAAACTACTCCATGTTTTGGGGAGACACGCTTAGGACAGTCTGTTCTGTGAAACAGCAAGTACCTTTCAAAATCCTATGCCTACCTTTATGCAGCAACTGCTGTAGTGTCAGGCATTTACTTGTGCCAGCTAAGTTGAAAGTAATACATTACTTCTGTGTATTTTACATGGCATCCCAATCACTCGCTATCACAGCAACCTAACCACCACCAACGGATTTTATTGCCATACCAACAAGCCACAAATGTTAGCAGACCTCAACCCAAGACAGAGGTTTAACTGAGTGAGTAGCCCAAGAATACACAAGACACCTCTGCCTTGAACAAGAGACTTATTCTTGGGGTTGTAATCACCAAGGTCTCATGCTCCACTTCCTGAGCCGAGACAGACCAGTAAACAGTCCTGTTCTTAGAGAGCTGGAGAGGTGGTATAAGTTTGTTCCTCCCTCCCTCCACTCTTTTCTCTTCTTACCTGCATAGAAGCAATTCCAAGTTAGACGTACCGTTAGTGTAAGTTCTTGCCATGGTTTATTATAACAGTTGTACTCACAGGTGCTCCTGCTGACAGCTCTGAGTTTCCAGCACTGAAAAGCAGCATAACAGAGTGATGAACACATTAATAAAACATTGATTTTTTTAAGACAGATAAAAGACAGACAAGTCTATTGGTAGCAGTCCCTGCCATTAAAAATTAACACAGAGACAGCAGTCGTGAAGGCTCAGGTGCAAACCGTTGTGCAACAGAGCTCCCACAGAGGGCAACTCGCATCAATTTACCTGATGCTGGTGCAGGGAGATGAGAGACCACAACCCTCATCCTGCAAGTCTCCTAATAACGCATGCTGAGCCCTTAGATGGCTAGACTTCAGCAAAACCTACAGAAGAAAGAAAATTGATAAACAGTAGAAAGACTGAAGACAAGTCACCCTTTCTGGTTTCCTCTGATCATTTACCATGGTTTAGGCATCTTTACAAGATAAACTGCCTTGGTTTCAAAAAGAAGATATAGGCAGTTTGAGCAATACTCTATTTGTAAATCCCAGTCACCGCAACAGCAACATTCAGCAGTAACATTCAAACTGCCATTGCATAAACAGTAACATCTCCATTGGCAGTGTAAGAGTAGTGCAAATTGCTGATGGTCTGAACTGGACTATTTCCTATATTTGATGGTATTAACTCTCTTCACATAAGCCACCGAACAGATGATATGGTGCTTAAAGCATTAGCAACACAATCCGATTTCAAACCTCTGCTCATACTGCATACAACAATACACAAACAAGGCTCAGATTTAAAAGAGCTGCAGCCTCTCTATTGACAAAGTCTGAATATTGTGATGTGTGTCACAGTAGCGTTATTTAAAAAGTTCCATAGTATGCATAAACTTGAGTGCACTGATTGATTATAATTACCCTGCAGCATATAATGCGCCCTTTTAAAAGGCTGCTTGTGTTGTAGGTATGCAGAGCAACACAGAAGTCATTCCAATTGCTTCCATTAGCTCTTTGTCACTTTTATTAAGCCTTTTATATTATTTTCCTGTCTTATTTTTGAACATGAAGGAGGACTCAATACATTTAAAATTAAAGACAGAATCAAAGGCAAAAAAGTCAGAGACTGAAGCAAAGCACTCCTCATTTATACTCATTGTGCTTTGTGCTTAATAACAAGGTATGAAGGAATAGGGTGTACAGCTGGACCTACTGAATTCAGCAAGACCACGATTTGGCTTTTAGATTCAGTCTGATATACTTTTGGCTTTTCTGTCTTTTCATCTTCTTCACAACTATAAGAAAATATATAAAAATATATATAATAGAATGTGTTTTATTTTCTTGTACAGTAAATGTCAGTAGCAGCCAAATCTTATTGCTTGTTCAATAGAATTATTTAGCTCTACATCTTATAGCACACAATCAATGAAATTCACTCCAGTTTCTGTTCTATGAATACTTATTTACTCCATCCCCTCAAACCCAAAGTTCTAAATTTTTTTTCTTCCATTTAATGATTACCATTTGAATGCAGGATTGTATGATTTATAATACACAGAGGAGGGACTTGCACAGAAGCTTGTAACTATATTTTATCTAGCATCAGCAATATGGCTGCTATGCAAGTCCACCCACCCCTCACTTCTCACAAGCTAACTAAACACTGTTTGGTTCCATCTCTCAGAGCATGTGGCTCCAAACTGCCTCTTCCCCCATTCATAGATAGGACAGGAGGTTGTCAGTATGGAAAAAGTTAAAAGCCATTCACATACCTGATAACTTCATTGTTGTGCTGTAAGTGTGGCACCAAAGGTAAGCAGCAGGAAAAAAAAAATGCGTGGCATTTGTTTCAAAACCAGACTCTTAACTTTGTCCTCAAGGATTCATGTTAAATGTGAATGATCTTCATAGATACTGCTTTAGACAATTCACAGTAAGAAAGTCAGGACTTGCCATGGAAAATTTTGTTTGGAGCTCCTTTGTGAATTCTTTTAGATTATCACCTGTATCTTATCACAGTGGACAGGTCTCCTCTGTTTCTTGGATTTTGTCACTGCAACAATAATGATACATTTTTGTGCATTCATATAAAGAACAAAATTTAAAATATACATTTTATTTTTTAAAAGTTATTAAATATTCTTTAAAGTTTACAACAGAATGTCTTTTGTATTCTTTTTAATGAACATATTCACACTGCAAGCTATACAGTGAGTATACACATACCCAAAGATGTGTGTGCGCATGCACACACACAGAACGCATGCAATAAAAAATACATAGCATACTTCCTTTTTGTCATTTCTCATTACGTACCTTTGATTTGATCTGTCCTTGCTTATCAGTTTTTTTGGGTTTTTTGTTTGTTTGTTTGTTAAGTGGCTTACCCATTCCTAGATAAATTTATACCCCTTTCAGTTTCCTGTTTAAGGGGCAAGCTGAAAGTATGTGAGAGGCAATACAGGTAACATTTCAGGAAACAGTGGGGGATCCAGGTTTACTGTTGATGTAACAAAAAGCATGTAGACACAAAACCCATGACTTTATGTTACTGATAATTTTGAAATAAAAGGTTTTCTCTGCTTCTGAGGAGGTGGTTGCTTAGATTCAGAAACTGACTAGGAAAACTCAGAAAAGTAACAGCAGACCCTCTGCTGACATGGACCCTTAGGAACTTTGGTACCAGATCCGAAGAAGGTCTGGTTATACCAGGCAGCTTGCCTGAAGTCATATCTAACACTTTGCTTTTTCCAATGTAATTTATTGCACCCTCTAGTTCAAACAGCTATTCTAGTTTTGCTAGTGAAATTGCCTCTAAATTCGGTGTATTTGGACCAACACAGGAGTACTATTAAAAGTATAAGGGTAGAAACGGCCTGAAAGTGGATGGAACCAGATATTTTAGAGGTTGTTGCAGGAAACCTCACAAAGGATAATCCAGTCCTTTGGTGGAAGTTTCTTCCAGCTCCATCAAGTCAGTAGCAGGTTTGCATTTCTTGAATTTCATCTTGTTAAGTGTACCACTAGATGGTCTCATTAACCACATCTATCTTTAATTCTTCTCTGAAGTCTTTAAAGCCTTTGACTTCAGTGTTATCTTATAGCAGTGAATTTCACAATTCCATTGTGCCATACACATTAAAAAAAACCTCCTTATGGGGATTTTAAACATTTTGCCTTTCAATTTCATTAAATCACTCTCAGTTCTTTTACTTCAGAAATGCGAACTTAATGGAAATTTATGGGCACAGAGCAACTCGATTACCTTTACAGCCTAATTTGTCTTCCCAATAAAGCTTAAATCGGGGTAATAGAGTATCCTATTGATTTTCAGGATGCCATCATTTCAACATACCTACTAAGTCAAGTTCATCTTCCCCAACAGCTATCCTATTTCAGTTGTCTTTGCTTTCTGAAATACATGTTGGCATAACCACCTATAGGTGTTTCTGTTTTAATCAACAGCCAGTCCAGTATTACACTTGGCATCCTGCTATTTTTCTTCAAATGCACTTAACACAACCAGGGATCTTCATGCTTACCTAATAACGCTGGCTGTATAACACGAAGAAATTTTTGTCAACAGGGCAGTGGTGCTGCAAATGAAAACATACTAACGCATTAGCAAATAAAAAGAAGAACACATAGAAAACATTTACAAACAGGCTTAAGCGCGCAGCTCAGAAAACTTCATTCGAAGTTTTTGTCTTGACACATCAGAAGTGCAGAGCCCTATGTTTCTTACTTTCTGATATGTTAAAAGAACTCAAACAAATGAAAAATCTATCATTAGTAATTTATACAACATGTGCAATTTGAAAGGCTGCTTTTCTGAAATCTCATCAGTTGACTATGTAAAAGGTCTTTCTATCCTGGGCCTTGATTTTTCTTCTTTTTTTTTTTTTTCCTGTAAAAATATTTCTCCGTAGAAATACTGCATGTCATTCTGTTCACTGGAAATTGTGATTTTCATTGAGCTGGAAGTACAGCTTAGTTTACATTCCCTCGCATAGCCAGAAAGCATTCACTGCAATCACTGTGCCATACCCACGCTGGTGTACATTAGACAGCTGCCCAGGTTGCTTATGAATTGCTTCACAATGCATAGTCTTTAATGTAGAAATGACTGATCAGTTAAAACAATTTCTCAAACAACTCCCTGGTATTTTTTCTGCAGAAATCACTGTTGAGATAGAGTGTTTTGTTACTACAGAGGTGTTTAGCAGAGAATTCACTGTACATGCAATTAAAGGAATAATTTGAAAGGATGGGATCCTTATCCAATATAAACCTCCCATTACATTCTCATGGAACTATTAGTATAGGTTTTGGTTTCAGTGACAGCCAACAGAAGAAAATATATAACTGTCTATAATTATATAATCTTAAGTTTTGTACAAAGTACAACATTAAAAAAAAAAACCCAAACCTAAAACTGTTAACATGTGTTGCTTATGTATTTATTTTATCATGCTACCAGTGATAAAGTTTTAGGTTTAAAGTACTCATCCTAAAGATAACTGCAAATTACTACAGAAATAAAGGGATTTCAGGAACTGGCTTGTGAAAGTCTATTTAGATGCACCTCACTTCCCTCGTCCACAAAGATGCTTCCTTGACTGTAAAGCTTAGTTGCTCCAGATCTACTACCTGTACCTGTGCTGCTTACTACACACATGGATACCTGGTTAATCGAGCAGCCAGTCTGTCAAATGCAGAGGGAAGCGTCTGTATTTTATAGCTTTAGACGCCCAAGGGTAGGCGCCTTGCGTGGTTTTAGGCAGTTTAGGTTTGTCACTGCGTTAGGAGACCACAGTCCCTATGTAGGAGGGAAAAATAAGTACTGTAACCATGTAATTCTTGTCACCCTACTTAGGAACCTAACCAGTGAGTAAGTCTGAATTGCTCTCTGAATGTCCTCAATTTCCCTGATACGAGCGTGCAAACTGCTAGGCAAGTACTGTTACCAAGTAGAACAGCCACTGGTTGGTTTGCTTTCCCAAAGAGACTAATATTTCAGGGTTTTGTTTTTTTCCTTTTTTCCTTTACCCAGCTTACCTTGGAAACTCGCTCAGTGCTAGTACAACATCCACACATGCAATTAACTGATCCCGATTACTACATCTCAGCTTGGATAATAAGCACCTAGGATACTGAACTGGCTGAAAAAAGTGCCTCAACCTAGAAACACTGCCATTGCTGTTCCTTTGAAAAGCTCGCATACATCCACCCCCTGTGGAGCGGCACAGTGCATGTGTCCCCACATTTGTCATTATGGTACCTTTCTGAGATAAATTCTATTCCCCGCCCCAAAAAAGTTTTCAATTGGCTTTCATTTCTCAAGGAATTGAGCCCCACACCCCAAAGGGGGTTCATGCCATATACAAACTCAGATAAGAGGAAGCACTCATAAAAAGAGCACTTCAGTATGGTCCAGGGTCTAGTGCTTTCTCAGAAACCCTCCTCTTGCTCGCTGACAGCAGATAACCAGATATTTATGACAGTCAAAGCCGTAAAAACTTCTCTATAATCCTCACAGCCGTCCTCGGTCCCCAGCAGCGCTTGCTGTCTTTGCAACTATAGCGATTTAGTTGGAAAGTGATGTTGGCATTAGCCAAGTTCGGAGACTGCATGGAGGCACACGTGACAAAGGGCTACTTGAGAAATGGCCAGCTGTGAGCTCAGCTGCAGGAGCGGGACACACGGGTCTGTCAAAAAGAAAAACAGAAATAGCCCTCCCCTGCCCTCCCTAGTCTCCTTGTGAACAGCTAAGTCACACTGCTTGGTTTTTGAAGAGCAGGGATGTCCCTAAACCTCATGGTTGAAAAAGGTTCTGCTTTTGAGGGAAGAGCAGAAACTGTGCACAACTGAAGGAACTGTAGATTTGCAAATGCAAACAGAAGAATTGGATTGATGTGTCATATAATTACCCGCTCACTTTCCCTAAACAAAATAAATCACCACCTTGAAAGTACAGCTTGTTGTCATGGAACTTGCTTGATATTTGGTGCTAATAAAAAATGAAGTTTTAAAGCTCCTTCCTGTGAAGTTCATGCATTAAAGTTCTTCCTCATTAAACACCACCTTACTCATAGCTGTGCACCACAGCTGGTTACCCTGACACAGTACACTCTTTGTTATCAAGATGTCTTTTCAAAAAAGCGCTCATGGGTTTAAAAACAGAATTATCACATGGAAAACTGGCATAATTAAAGGCTTACTGGACATCACGCTACCTTTTTCCAGTGGAATCAAGAGCTGATGTACTTCTACGTACGTACATTCTTCTCAGAACCACAGTATTCCAATACAGGCAATCTTTGGTTGCTACAGATGACAACAGGACTCCAGTTTTCCAACTTCTATGGTATTACACCATAGAAGGTGAGAAAGAGAGAACAGAGAAACTAAAAACGACAAATAAGAAGAAAACGCAGATGAAAAATATGGGAGAATGCTAGAAACAGATGAAAGAGCTGGGCACACAATGCTTGGCACCTGAGCAGAGCCTTTTTTCCTCACTGTAAGGTACAGAAATAGAGCAGCATCCCATGAATTACGTTACATAGTGAGCCCTTTCATGACCCACACAATCTTCTTTTAAAAGAAGATGCTCCCAGAACCAAATCAGGGCTGTAGTGCATATCTCTATAAACGGTTCCACCTAATCCCTATGACTTAGCGGATTTCAGCTTTTTGAGTCTTCTGTAAACTCACAGACGGTGATTCCCCAAGTTCTAGGACTGACGCAATCCCTGTCTATAGCATGCCGTTATTCAGATCTACAGAACTGAAGCTGTGATGCCCTACCGTACTGCAGCCTGGGACAACCTACTGCTGCTTGGGATCCTCCTATTGCCCAGGGCAATCATACCGGTGACTTCCAAGCAGTGGCAAAGCAGCTGCTACTGTCTCTGGGAAAAGGGGGCAGTCACCAACCCCACCTCGAATACACAATAGTGAAAGGTCTGCAGATAAATGCTAAATGCAGCTTCGTTTACCTGCTTTTCCTTGATCCTGCTTTCCTATAGTCTTCCAAACACCACACTGAAATCCCATCTCCTCTCCTCCTAGGCTATGCAGGTTCACAGAGCTGTTGAAGGACACTGGAATAGTCAGATGATGAAATGGCTACAAGAGACATTGATTTCTCTTATATCCTGCAACCTTTAGTACTTCCAGCCACACAAGGAGATCAATCCAGGCAGCAGTGGGGGATGAATTTATAATGTAATTTAAACATTACTGAAAACTGCTGAGATCCATGACATTTAAAAGAACTCAGCATGCCATAGCCAGTGTGTTACTGGTCCACACGCTCACATGGAGTACAGTGTCCTGCAAGTTAAAAAGATTTGTTAACATCAATGCAATTATACAGAACATGAGGACATCTGGCTTTGCAATCAGATCTAGCACCAAACAGCAGAACACCCTGGTGCCTTATTTATACAAGCAGCTTCTTGCTAAGCATAAACAGAAATACGGGACAATACTGCCATTGTCAGTGCTGATGGTGCAAGCTTATTTCATTTTCATTTTAATCTAGTGAGCTCTCACTGAAAATTAAAGATTCCCTAAGAGCTTTATAGCATGAAGTGAAGGGGCAAATTAAATCGAAAACTGAGATAATCCCCAGAAATGTGTACACAAGTAAAGCAGCTTTAAGTCCAACCACCTTTCAGACTGGTAAGTTCTTGTATAAATAATAACAACAAAAAAAAATCTCCTGCAATGAAAATATTCTCAAGTCTTTCCATTTGTCTGAAGACATCCCAGAATGCATCACATTGTGTCTACATTATCATCTGCAGCGAGACTACTCAGATCGCTATCAGAAAATGATAAAAGTACTGATGTGGGTTAAGTGAACCAGAAGTGCCATAGCATTTCACAGTCAGGATTTAAGTAAATAAATAAATAAAATGGATGAGTCCAGCTGAGCTGAGCAGGTCTTTTTTGAATTTTCTCTGGCTAGCTTACTAAGAGCACACATCTCTAGCCTCCATGCAATTTTCACTTCAATTTTGCATTCACCCTCGGTATTGCCACATGCAACGTTTGCTGATTTGAAAGCATCAGATTCTCTGTTCAGGTCAGAAAGTTGCTCAGCTCGACTCTGCAACTCTTTTTAAAGTCTAGATAAAATTGTTCCTAGGGCAACAATATAATAAGAAATGAAAACCCTGAAGGAATGACATTCTGGGTATGTAGACATACACAGAAGGAATTTAAGCCCCAGGAATGAAAGTAGATTTGCCAGTAGGCAGCGTTGTGCTGTAGTTTCAGTTATGTCTTCAATACAATTTTTGAAGCACAGAACGTGATGAATCCCCAGGGAATCTGCACAACCACAATGCCTAAGCATATTTAAAGATTATCATTCAAGGCTTTTAAATCCAACTCTATGTTTCCATTAATCCACTGAGCTGGCAGCCCAATCTCACATTGTTAGAAGGTGAGCGAGCCTGCCAATAGAGAGCTTATTAAATATTAAGGTTTTAATCTTAAATACTTCTGTATGACTGAAAAATTCTGAACAGTGCACAGAAAAGCATTTTCAAAAAAAAAAAAAAAACAAAAAAACCTATAAGGTGATATTAGATAAAGGCAAATGTCCCCAAACTAGCAGGAAAGCTGTGTAATAAATCCATTCATTTTAAAGTAGCCGCTGTGTCTCTGCAGTCACATTCTCCCCCGCTTGCCTAGACACAGTGTTCACTGGCTCACTCCTGAAGGCCAAAAGCTCACTTTTCTCCCGAAATGCCATCTTAGCAATTAGAGGTTCACAGCAGGATTCACACTACTCTGATAATGCTGATGGAAAACACCGGACAGGTAAAAAGAAAGATAAACCACTTGGCAAAGGCTAGAGGGATCAGCAGCACATCTGATATTTCCACTATTTTCCATTATACTGTAAAAAAAAGCATTCAGCTGAGACAACCTAATTTTTAAGCAAAAGCTAACTAAAATGCATAAACTAGGTATGTATCCAATGAGACATTTTTTTGAAAAGTCATTTTCTACCTAAGAGGGAAGGGGAGAGTCCCAGCCAGAGGGATTACTCTCCTCTTCTATTTCAAGTGGATCACTTCAGATCTAGCACAATTCAGGCCAAAAAAAAAAAAAAAAGAAAAGGAAAAGGAAAAAAAAAAAAGAAGAAAGAAAATCTTTTAGCTGAGATTTTTAGCTTTTAATACTTCCACCGGATCCAACAGTAAATCAGGTGGGCAGCAGCAGCAAATTAGGTTCCTTCTTTGGAAGCTCTTCTGTGCAGAGAGGCCAGGAAGCAGCCACAGGGGTGCCGGAAACCTGACCGGCCCCTCAGACCAGAGACCACCACCCACGTGGAGCGCAAGCAGCCCTGCTGCTGCACCCCGGCGCAGTCCTGGCAGCTCATCTCGGGCGCGTGGCTTACTGCACGGCCTGAGGAACAGAGACCTTCCTGGTTTCATATACGGCCTTTGCCCTCTTTCTCTGTATGCCCTTGCCTCCAAACCAACTTTTCCACAGCAATCAGATCCTCAACTTTCAGTTCCAAATCCATGAAGCAGATGGAAGGTCTTCCGCCTCCTTTACAAGCAAACTACTCTCTGCAGAGCACCGCTCCCCTGCGGGCTGGCACGCTGAAACCCCTCCGCCTTGCTGACAGAAACCAGAGACACCGCCTCTTCCCCACAGACAGAAACATCAACTCCAACTTCCCCTTCTAGACTCAAGACATGCTCAGATTTCAAGCAACTCTCAGACAGACGTTACACCACGAGGAGCAAAACTCGGATATCGCCCGAAAGGAAAGAAACGGGGGGCTGCAGAGTTCTGCATGTGCCTGCACCATCCCAGAAACCAATCAAAGCAGCATACTGGATTAGTGCTGGGGTCAGCCATGATGAAGCAAAACCCACGCGGCTGCCCGAGCTACAGCATAACTGCACCTTAGCACAGACTGACGGAGACAGCGCCGCGCTCTGCACTACAGGACGCTGCCCTGGCAATGCCAGTAGCCGACGGGCACTGCCATTCCTGATACACTACTTGCAGGTGGACCTGAGAGAGTAGTCGCAAAAGCGATGCACGCACACGCAAATTTGTCATGATGCTGTCAGATCTCCGAATGCAAAGTCACAGCTAGGATGTATTTGGCTAGAGGTTCAGCTTAGGCTCCCCCTCATGTTTCCCTATGTTATGTACATGCTCCTCAGTATGGAATCACAGAATGGCCCAGGTTGGAAGGGACCTCTGGAGATCATCTAGTCCAACCCGCCTGCTCAAGCAGGGTCACCTAGAGCACATTGCACAGGATCACGTCCAGGTGGGTTTTGAATATCTCCAGGGAAAGAGATATTCACTATTCGTGTTTGAGGAACACAATTAACGTTTAATAAAAATGAGTTCATCTCCATTGGCAGGTGCTACAGTAAAGTAAGGAGGTGCTGAGGGCCAGAAAATACATACGGCTTCAAAACCTTGGGAGGGATAAAATAGCATTCACAGTTCTGTAGGTAGTTTTGTACTGCAACTCAGTCCCTTTATTAATAGGGGATTACAGCAATCACAGAGCTTGGTATCATTCAGTACACACACACACCCCTACACAACTCAATACGTATTAACTCCTGTACATTCAAAACTCAATTCAGTCCTACGCTAGTGATACACGCACGCACTGTACACGTTTTGTGTGTCCCCTAAGCTTAGTTTGCTTATGCCTCATTCCATCCCTGAACATCTATTTTATACGAACAGTCTTTAGAAATGCTCACGACAGGTGCTTGCAAATACTGCTTCATATAGAAATAAGAGAAACAAAAAACAGAATCATTTTAACGGACAAAATGAGTTGCAAAGTTGTTTGAAAAAAACCCCAAATCATGTTACTTACGTAAGCACAGGAAAGTAATTACTCTGATATTGTGCAAAACAGTCCATGAGACATTAAATAAAA